AATAAGATGACGCACGCGCTCGAATATCAGGTGACACACGTGCGCCGATCGCCGAGAGAGAGAGAGCGAGTTTAAATATAATTAATTTGCCCATGCGAGAGGCGAAACACGGAAAAGTAAATATGCTGTACGATTGGGGAGCTACGATCTCATTGATAAAAGTGAAACTCTTAAAGGGTGAGACCGAAATTTACAATGATAAAATAACCTTCGTTGGAATAACCGGTCATAAAGTCAAGACAATTGAGTTAAATGGAAACAAAATAAAACACGCGATTTACGTCGTGAAAGATAATTTCCCGATGGAATACGATGGGATCATAGAAATCGATTTCCTTCAGAAGCAGCAAATCACGTGCGATTACCGAAAACGCGAACTACAAATCGGAAACGCCGTCCTAAAATTGCAACCGTATAACAAAATTACTTTAAAGCCGCGTAGTAAAACTATTATACAAGCGATAACAAATCATAATAAGACAGGATCATTCGACCCAAAGAAGCCGCCCCAGGAATCTATATCGGACGATGTTTGGTAGAACCGAAGAATTACCAATGTCCCATCAGTGTAATTAATACAACTGATAAGCCGGTCGAGATCCACACACCCCTCGTAACCGTAGAAGACGTTTGCGAAGATAACGCACACGAGTTATACACGATACATACAGACGAGACTCCGAATCTATTAACGCGCGACGAACGGATCTGACAATTATTACGCACAGAACATTTAAATAGGGAAAAAAGGAAAACGATACAAAAAATATGCGAAGAATATAGCGACGTGTTCTATTTAAGCGGAGAACCACTGTCATGCACAGCAACACTAAAACACGAGATAAGCACGCGCGCCGATACCTCACCCGTCAATGTGAGACCATATCGCCTTCCCGAGAAACACAAATTAGAAGTGAACAAGCAAGTACAGGAAATGCTAAAAAACGGAATTATTAGTACAAGTATTAGCCAGTGGAATGCACCGTTATTGGTATAGTGCCAAAAAAGGCAGACGCAACAGGCAAACCGCGATTAAGAGTAGTAGTCGATTTCCGGAAATTAAATGAATTAACTATAGGCGATTCGTTTCCACTACCAAACATTACCGATATTTTGGATCAGCTGGGAAACGCGAAGTATTTTACGACGCTCGACCTCGCATCTGGATATCACCAGATACCGATGGCTGAACGCGACAAAAATAAGACAGCCTTTTCGACTCCCTACGGACACTACGAGTTTAATAGAATGCTGTTTGGACTTAAAAACGCGCCCGCGACTTTTCAACGACTCATGAACTCGGTGCTAATCGGGATACAAGAGCTCCGATGTCTCGTTTATCTCGACGATATCGTTATATACGGATCCAGTTTATCTCGACGATATCGTTATATACGGATCCAGTTTAGAGGATCACAACAGAAGACTCGCGGAAGTATTACAACGCCTACGGAAACACAGTCTCAAACTCCAGCCTGACAAATGCGAATTTTTACGAAAAGAGGTGATATACCTTGGACATATTATTTCCGAAAACGGAATACTGCCAGATCCGTCGAAATTAGAAACGGTAAAAAGTTTTCGACACCGCGGAAAGTAAAAGACGTACAATCGTTTATCGGACTAGCGGGTTATTACCGAAAATTTATAGAAAATTTTTTGCAAATTGCAAAACCGTTAACAAAACTAACGAAGAAAACGGAAACGTTCGAATGGAAAAATGAGCAACAAATCGCGTTTGAAAAATTAAAGAAAAAATTAATGACAGCTCCAGTATTAAAGTATCCGGACTTCAATGAAGAATTCAACGTGACTACCGATGCCTCGGACTATGAAATCGGAGGCGTATTATCACAAGGAGCGGTAGGCAAGGATAGACCTATCGCATACGCCAGCCGAGTATTATTTTGCGTGGAACAAAATTATAATACTACGGAAAAGGAACTATTGGCAATCGTATGGGCCGTTAAACATTTTCGACCATACATCTACGGCACAAAGTTTAAAATAATTACCGATCATAAACCATTAGTATGGTTATTTAACGTAAATGACCCCGGCTCAAGGCTAATTCGCTGGAGGTTAAAATTAGAAGAATATGATTACGAAATTATTCATAAGGCCGGACGAGCGAACGCAAACGCCGACGCATTGAGCCGGAATGTAATCCAAAACGCTGACTCAAGCGAAAGGATAGAGGAGATATACAAGGCAGAAAAAGAAGAGGAAGAATTCGACAATAACACAAGAAAATATTCGGAAGAGGAAAAGAATCAAATACTCTACGAATACCACGATGCACCCACAGGAGGGCATCAAGGAATCGAACGAACAATCAAAAGAATTCGATTAAAACATAACTGGTCAGGATTGACAAGAGATGTCGAACGATATATTGCCAGATGCAAATCTTGCCAAAAAAATAAGCTATCGCGCCGAATAAAAGCACCTCTCGTAATCACGGATACTCCGAATAAACCATTCGAAAAATGTGCATTAAACATTCTCGGACCTTTAACAGTTACTACTAACGGAAACAAATACTTGTTAACATTTCAGGATAGCCTGACGAAGCTCAGTAAAGCAATACCGATCGTAAATCAGGAAGCGAATACCGTCGCAAAAGAGTTTGTTACGAAAATAATTTTTGAACACGGCATTCCAGAGAAAATTTTAACGGATCAAGGCACAAATTTCATGAGCGAAGTATTTAAAAATATATGCAAATTATTAAGAATAAAAAAGATACAAACAACCGCGTATCATCCCAAGAGTAACGGAGCATTAGAAAGATCGCACCGCACATTAGCCGAATATTTGCGACAAGATGTAAATGCCGACCACACCGACTGGGATGAATGGGTGCCATACGCAATGTTCACATATAATACTACTTCTCATACAGCTACGGGATATACCCCCTTTGAATTAATATACGGACGACAAGTCAAACTACCGACAACACTAACGAAACCGCCTAAACTGACGTATAGCTATGACGACTATCTACAGGAACTAAGGGAAAAAATACGTGCATCGAACCTTGCGAAAGAGAATATTAAAGAAGAAAAAATAAAATCGAAAGAATACTTTGATAAATCCGCAAAAGAAGCTAAATTTAAAATAGGCGACAAGGTACTCGTGTACGATGAGACGCTACGACGTGGACGATCAAAGAAATTAGATGCATTATGGGCAGGACCATACACAATAATAGAAAAAAATTCAAGCGTGAACTACACAGTAAAGAAAGGAAGAAAAGCGATACGCATGCACACAAACAGACTAAAATTATTTATCGAAAATTAGGATTTATCTATTCTGGTATCGCAAATGGATCAAGACTGGTCGCCCCCACCAAAACCACCACCTCACGCACCATTCGCGCACCAGTACGCGTAACGAGGGTGACGTGCAAGGAATGCGGCTCACCCGTCCTCCGGGACACATTCGCCCACCGGAGCACCACATCGTACGCCCGGGTATATTCGTTTCCTGTCATTTCGGGCCCCACAACAGGGGCGCGGGCGCGACAATAAGGACACAACAAATCATACAATTGCGTATAGGCATTGCACCTAATACAATTATAACGAAAATGCATAGTAATACGTCGTGCCGCACGTAACAAAAGTTGTCATAAGACTAAAGGGACGACAGATGACATAGAGAACGAATGCTCCGCTCTCTTGATAAAAAATTGCATACAAAAGTATATAAAGATAAAGTAGTAAGAAGAATTATATATATGTTATTACAGAATGATCGTATTCAGTGCTGTGCGAATTCGCGGCAACGCGGAGTGCGAACCGGTGTGCGAGTGAATTGTAAGATTTTCTAAGGAGCACAGCACAACGACACCAAAAAAAAGAGAGAGACAATGTTACTGAGAACGGCACTGTATTTTTGCTATGTACAAAAAATGAGAGTCGCGCACAGATAAAAAATACACGGATTGCAAGAAGTGCAATCCACAAAGAATAAAGTATTCGCGAGAAGTGCGATACCACGGAACGTTGTGAAAAAAAACGTAAACGAAGAAAACTCTCGGTCTGTGCATGCGAGCTGCGACAAAGCGAGTAAGTGTGGAACGCGCGGGAAAACAGTTTTATCCTGCCGACCTTCGAGAAGGTTCCAATGTAAAATTACCGAACTTGTAATTTTGCAATGTAATGCTGTGGAATCCTCTCGAGTGTCGGAGGACAAAACTGTTTTGCCTTTTCTGTTTTGTTTGGCCAGCCCGCGTAAGCGGGCTGGCGACAGCCGAAGGCGTTTGGCGCGCGAAACGCGCGCAGCGCGATTGGTGCCGTGCGATTAGCGCAAATTGACGCGCCGAATTTGATATTGAAAATATCACGTTTCCGCACTGCATGCGTACATGCACTCACACACATACACACTCTCTCTCTCTCTCTTTTCTCTCTCTCTCTCTCTCTCTCTCTCTCATCCGTAACATTCCGCCCGCCTCGTCGCGACGAGCGACGAACGATTTTTTTTTTTTTTGGAGGTGCTAAAGCGGAGGAAGCATTAAGATGCAGCGAAGAATACGATGCGCGAGACGAGAGTGAGTATACGACTCAATGTTTTTACAGTTTTTTGACGACGAACAAGAATAATGATGCGTTTTATTATTATTTACAGTATATACAGTCGCGACGGAACTCGCGGCACGGGGTTTACGCGGGTGGCCCTGGGTCCTTGGCGGCAGCCGTCGGCAGTGGTACGATTTTAACCACTGGCCGGGTTAACTCGCCAACGGACGTGCGGACGTCCACCACGCGTATCTCCCCGTCCAGGCCGGGGTGCACGCGCGTGACCCGAGCAAGCGGCCACCGGCACGGCGGGGTATTCTCGCCCTTGACCAGACACAACTGGCCCTCGAGAATAGCTCCACGAGTGGCCCACCATTTGGGCCGCGGGCTGAGGTGCTGTAGATACTCGCGGGTCCACCGCTGCCACAGGTGATCCCGCATCTGCTGCAGGAGACGCCACCGATTCAGTCAGTTGGCTGAGGCGTCCAGGAGTGACGGCTCCGGGATGGCGAGAAGAGGGCTTCCCACCAGGAAATGCCCAGGCGTCAGGGCACGGAGGTCGTCAGGGTCATCCGTCAAGGCTTCGAGCGGCCTAGAATTGAGGCAGGCCTCAACCTCTGTGAGGAACGTCGACAGTTCCTCAAAGGTCAGTCTGGCCTCGCCGATGGTGCGTCTAAGGTGGTGTTTAACCGCCTTGACCGCCGCTTCCCACAGGCCGCCAAAATGTGGAGCTGCCGGTGGATTGAAGCTCCACCGCACTCCTCGGTCTGCCAGGCGCCCAACAATGGTCTGGATCTCACGGCCAGCAGCCTTGAAGAGGGCCTTAAGCTGTCGGTCCGCGCCCACAAAGTTAGTGCCGCAGTCGCTGTACACGACTGTGCACAACCCTCGTCGGGACACGAACCGACGAAAGGCCGCTAGGAAGGCCTCGGCGGTGTAGTCGCTGACAGCTTCAAGATGTACGGCGCGGGAGCTAAAACAAACGAATACCACCAAAAAACCCTTGTAGGCCTTGTGTCCTCGGCCTCTCGTCGTTCGAAGCCACACCGGGCCGGCGAGGTCCACGCCGGTGTGCTGGAATGGGCGGCTCGGAGTGACGCGCGCTCTTGGCAGGTCGCCCATCTTCGGCCGTGGAGTGGCCGCCCGCCATCGGATGCACGGAGGGCAACTGTGAATGTGGCTGCGAACCACTTGACGTCCTCGCGGAATTCAAAAACGCTGCCTGATATGAGCCAAGGTGGCCTGGACTCCGCCGTGAAGTGTTCGCCTGTGGGCGGCGTCAACCACCAGGTGCGTCAGGTGAGACTGCGGCGGTAGGATGGCAGGATGACGTTGATCGGCGTCCAAAATTGCGTGTTTTAGACGCCCGCTGACTCGCAGGGTGCCCTCGTCGTCCAACATGGGAACCAGCTTGCGGAGTGAGCTCCGGGCAGGCAGCGTCTTTCCAGCACGGACGTACTGCAGCTCGGCATGGTAGCTCGACTCCTGAGCTACCTGGATCCATTTAGATAAAGCGGCCTCCAACTCCTCAGGTTCCAAGGAGGCCGACACAGCTTCGCTGTCTGCTGAGTGACGCCCTCGTGCCCTCCAGCGCCAGATCCAGGCGGACACGCGAAGCAGGCGACGAAGGCAGGAAAAGCGGCAGAGCTCCTCAGCTTCTCGTTCCTCGGCGGCTGCATGGCATCGGAACGGTCGCTGCTCCGGTAAGTCGGCCGTTTCCAAGAGTCCGACGTCCTTCGGCCAAGAGTCCGCGTGATGACGGAGATATTCCGGCCCTCGCCACCACAGATGATGTTCCAGGAGCTCCTTCGGTGACACCCCTCGGGAGGCACAGTCTGCAGGGTTCTCCTTGCCAGGTACGTGCTGCCATCTCGCATCCTGGTTGTCGCGGTGAATTTCAGCGACGCGGTTGGCTACGTACGTATTCCACTTTGCAGGGTGTCCACGTATCCAGCCAAGTGTCACCGCAGAATCCGTCCAGAGGGTGACCGCCGACTTCTCCAGATCCAAGGAGAGCCGCATATGCTCTGCTAGCTTTGACAGCAGAGCTGCTCCGCAGAGCTCTAGTCTCGGCAGCGATACACGCTTCAACGGGGCCACCCTGCTCTTGGCGACCACCAGGTTGATGCGGGGCAGTCCGCCATCCTCCACCCTGCTGTAGACCACAGCAGCGTAAGCCCGTTCGGAGGCATCCGAGAAGCCGTGGAGCTCCATGGGGCTGCTTGGAGCGTTGCTGTGCAGCCAACGTGGCAGTCTGATCTTCTCCAGTACCGGCAATTCCTCCTCGAGGGCTGTCCATGCGGCGGTGTCCTCGCGTGATAGCGGTGCGTCCCACTCGAGCTGCTGCAGCCACGCCGACTGGATCAGCAACTTTGCACGCACGAGGATTGGTGCTAGCCAGCCCAGCGGGTCGAACAGGCGAGCGGTCTGCGCCAGCACGGTCCGCTTGGTAGGTGGGGCCGATGGAGTCAGCCGGACAGACAACGAGAAGGTGTCTTCGTGCGGATTTCACCAAATGCTCGTCTGCAGGTAACCTCGCGCCGGCCGTCGTGCCTAGTTGATGCTCGACAGGGATGAACTCCAGGAGGCGGTTGTCGTTAGAGGCCCACTTCCTCAGCGGAAAGCCGCCCGCCATGCAGAGCGAGGTCACTTGTCCCAGGAGGCAACGAGCAGAGTCCAGGTCAGCAGCTCCGGTGAGTATGTCGTCCACATACACGTCGTGCTGCAGGACGTCGGCACCGAGCGGGAAACGGTTGGCTTCGTCTGACGCAAGCTGCCGCAGCACTCGTATGGCGAAATATGGTGCGCTCGCCAAGCCATACGTGACCGTATTTAGCCGGTACTCGCTGACCCCGTTGTTCTCTGCCCACAGGATCCGTTGTAGGTCTCGATCGTCCGGATGAAGCTGAATTTGCCGGTACATCATTTGAACGTCGGCCATGAAGACGTACCGGTGCCGCCGCCATCGAGTCAAGACATCAGCGAGAGACGGCAGCAAGTTAGGTCCAGAGTGCAGCACACCGTTGAGAGACGCCTCGGCGCCCGTGCGAGCTGATCCGTTGAAAACGACGCGGATCTTGGAACCGGCAGCCGAAGTCCGCAGCACCCCATGATGTGGCAAGAAATTGATCCGGTCACCTGGTGAAGCCACAGTGGAGGCAGCGAGCGTCATATGCCCGAGGGTGATGTACTCGCGCATGAAGTCGCGGTACAGCACTCCGAAGTTGGTGTCGCGGTCGAAGCGACGCCTCATGACGTCGAGGAGACGTGATGCGGCGCGACGGGTGGGGCTTAAGTCCGGCAACCTCGATCGCAGCGGGAGTCGCACCTGATAGCGGCCGTCTGATAGTCGTCGATGGGTGCGCAAGAAGTGGTCCTCGCACTCCTGCTCGTCAGCGGTCAGCGGAAGGACGGCACGGGGAGGCTCCTCCGTTTCCCAAAAACGACGCACCAGCTCGGCAAGGTCCTCCACTGTGGTACACTGCAACGACGACACGGGATTCGTGATGTGGCAGGTCCCAATGGCGCCCAACAGCACCCATCCGAAGCGCGTCAGCAGCGCTCCTGGCTCCTGCGGCCCTCCTCTACGAAGACCTTTCGGCATGGCGAGATCCAGGTACACATCCGCACCGAGCAGTAGTTCCACGGGATCCTGGCGGTGGAATTCAGGATCAGCGAGGTCGAGGTCCTCAAGGTGCGGCCATGAGCGTGCTTCTCCCTCAGGAATGCCGCCGTACACGGTTAGGCGCGGCAGCACGAGAGGCGAAGCGGCGAGCGCGAAGTGCCCGTCGCGCGAGAAGATGGTGACCGCTGTTCGCCCTCGAGAGACGCCTGACTGGATGCCACCTACTCCGAAGATGGCCACTGAGGAGGGAGTCCGCGGCAGGCAAAGGCGTTGTGCCAGAGATTCCGCGATCAGTGATGTCTCCGAACCCGGGTCAATCAGGGCGCGGACGTCGTGGCGAGTGCCCGCGCGATCAGCCACCAGCACGCGCGCGGTTGCCAGAAGCGCTGATCGGCATTCCACCGGCGGTCGCCTGGCCACGTGGGTCGTCACCGCGGAAGATGGTCCGGCAGCAGGCAGAGCCACAACGGTGAAGGTGTCGTGAAGAGAGGAATGGTGCTTGCTAGAGCACTTCATGCACACCTTGGAGGACGTGCAATCAGCAAGGAGATGCCGACCCAGGCAGTTCCAGCACCGTTGGTGAGCATTGATTGCCTCCTTTTTTTCAGCCACTGTTTTTCTCTTGTACAGCTCACAGTACGCGATAAAGTGATCCTTCTTGCAGAGCGGACAGCTGCGGCTCGGGTCTGATCCCTTGCTCCCCACGTGGCTTGTGCGAGCGGCGCGGTTGGATTTCTCCAAGGGCTTGCCAGATGGTCCGGGCCTGGTGGACTGGAGGACCTCCAAGGTCATCAGCTGCTCTTGCAGGAACTCCCGGAGCGTGTCGTACGACGGCGGCTCGGCAGACTTGCCGAGCGAACTCTCCCACTCGCGTTGAGTTTCGGCGTCCAGCAGTTCGACGACCAGGTGCACAAAAAGGTCGGTGCAGTCGCTTATCGGACGCCCGATGCCCTTCAGAGCGCCCACTGTGATGAGCACGCCGTGGAAGATTCGACGGATGCCGTCGGGCGAGGGAGCCTTCATCCTCGGCAGCGATGTGAAGGCCGTCAGGTAGGAACGCACGAGGAGGCGCTTGTTCTCGAAATATGTCGTCAGCATGTCCCATGCCTGTTCCAGGTTGTCTTCCGTGGAGGGCAAGTTCCGAATGAGCTGCTCCGCGTCGCCCTTGACACTCGTCCTGAGATAGTGCAGCTGCTCGATCTTAGTCAAGGATGGATCCCCGAGGATGATGGAGCGGAACAGGTCCCGGAAGCTTGGCCAATCCTCGAACTTGCCACTGAATTGAGGCAGATTGATGCGTGGCAGGGTCCTGCGGGACGGCGCGCTTCCTCGAGCCTTCTCGGAGGTGTCAGCTTCCGACGGCGTGGAAAGCCTTTCCTCCATCTCGGCAAGTTCGGAGCGTTGCGTGTAATACGCCGTTTCGACCTTGCTTGGAAGGTCGTCGGAGGTGTACTCATCTTCCTTTATCTCCTTCCAGTATTTGTCGCGGAGCTCCGCGTGCAGCTCCTGAAATCTGGTCCACTTGTCGTCCAGGAGGCGGATCGCAGCTTGGATGGTGTCCACGTTCAGCTTGGCCGCCCCGATTTTTCGTAAATTGTCGACACTACGTAATATACGCACGTGAAGTTCATGTTGAGCGTCGATCAATTTATCCATGCCCATTTTGTTCGTTACAGGTCACAGATCACCCTGGTCGCGCACACACTTAGACTGCGAAGCACAGAAGATGCCGGACGCGACGAATACGCGGAGAGGATCCGGCTCGAAGGACCAAAAAATGTGCGAATTCGTGGCAACGCGGAGTGCGAACCGGTGTGCGAGTGAATTGTAAGATTTTCTAAGGAGCACAGCACAACGACACCAAAAAAAAGAGAGAGACAATGTTACTGAGAACGGCACTGTATTTTTGCTATGTACAAGAAATGAGAGTCGCGCACAGATAAAAAATACACGGATTGCAAGAAGTGCAATCCACAAAGAATAAAGTATTCGCGAGAAGTGCGATACCACGGAACGTTGTGAAAAAAAACGTAAACGAAGAAAAACTCTCGGTCTGTGCATGCGAGCTGCGACAAAGCGAGTGAGTGTGGAACGCGCGGGAAAACAGTTTTATCCTGCCGACCTTCGAGAAGGTTTTAATGTAAAATTACCGAACTTGTAATTTTGCAATGTAATGCTGTGGAATCCTCTCGAGTGTCGGAGGACAAAACTGTTTTGCCTTTTCTGTTTTGTTTGGCCAGCCCGCGTAAGCGGGCTGGCGACAGCCGAAGGCGTTTGGCGCGCGAAACGCGCGCAGCGCGATTGGTGCCGTGCGATTAGCGCAAATTGACGCGCCGAATTTGATATTGAAAATATCACGTTTCCGCACTGCATGCGTACATGCACTCACACACATACACACTCTCTCTCTCTTTCTCTCTCTCTCTCTCTCTCATCCGCAACAAGTGCCAACGCAGCAATATTAAGACGGTCAAACCAAGAACCGTACGAACTCGAAGAATTTGCCAACGAACCAGGGATACACTTCGAAAGAATAGGTCACCTACACTGCTCTAAAAGTACGTGGAAATTAGTAATAAAATTAGATCTAGCTACATTAACCGCAAAACAGGGATATATACGAAATTACATAGAACAAACAGAAAAAACATGCAATATATTAACGCAACGAAAAACATGCCTTAACTTGTTAATATTACAAAACAAACGTTAAATTATTTAGAAAAGACAACAATGCAAATAACTACATTCTACGACAGACGTACAGACAAACGTAAGGAAATAATTGACGGGATAGGTACAATAGCAAAAACATTGTTTGGTACCATGGACGCGGATGACGAAAAACGTATATAAATGAACAACTAGAGTTAATAAATAGCCGACAGAGCACGATACAACACACAGTTTGACATCAACTGACAATAATCAACGATACGATAACACACATAAATAATAATGAGAATACTTATTAAGTCAGCTCTTTTAATTTTTAAAACCACAATCTCCACTTGATTCCTCTCGACCAATAGAGCCAAACATATACGAGTAAATAAGTTAGAGAATATAATAGAGCAGAGTGAGAAACTCTTACAAGAAAATTTAGCGGAATATATTACATTAGAAAACATACAGAAGCAATATGAAATAATTATGGCAGTTTTAACAGACTCCAATAGGGACGCTGAAAATATCATAGAATACTTAGCGCAAATCGAAGAGGGAAACGTACATCCGAAACTAATACCGTTCGATAACATTGTCGCACATTTAAAGGAAGCCGCAACGCAATTAGAACAGGGAGATTATTTCCTGTTTAAAACACATACAGAGTAAATTGGCATGAAATAAAGAAACATGCAAGCGTAAGCGCATACGTAAGCAAAGACTATAATTTATATGTATATATATATATATATATATATATGTTAATTTATATTTTATAAATTATATATATAACAGAAAGAAAAAAGTGACGGAGAATAATTAAAAGAAAGAGAGAAAGGAAAAAGGAGGTTCATAGAAAAGAAAAAGAAAGAAAAAGAAGAAAAAAGGATTCGGAAAAAATAGAGAAAGGAAGAAAGAAAAAGAAGGAAGGAGGTGTATAATATTTGGTAAATATATTTTAGGTAAATATATATATATATATATATATATATATATATATATATATGTATACATATACAGGGTAAGTCATTTTAATGTCCCACCCGAAATATTTCTGTTCGTATGCATTTTACGAAAAAATGTTTTAGACAAAAGTTGTGTGGTTTCGAGGGGGTCATAAGATGATACCATTGGTTTGACCTTGAAGAGTCATTGGAAGGTCATGTAAAGGTCACTTCAATTTTTTTTAATGGAACACTCTCTATATTTTTGCATATTTCTGTAGCTTACCTTGAGAGCTCCAAAACACTATTATAAAGTATTTTTTTATTTAATGATTTTCGAGTTATAAGATTTCAAAGTTGCAGTATTTTAACATAAAATACGAAAAATCTTGCAAAATATTCATTTTTCGATTATCATGCCTTAATACTTTTATCATCAGAATAATGAGACGAATCAGTTGGTACAAAGAAAACACATGGTTGTCTTTAAGAAAAATTGTGCAACTGCTTATTGTAATTTTCATATTTTTTTTAAGGCAACTATGTGCTTTCTTTACATCACCTGATTCGTCTCATTATTCTGTGCATTAAGGTATGATACTCGGAAAATGAATATTTTACAAGATATTTTGTATTTTATGTCAAAATACTGCAACTTTGGAGCTTTATAATTCGAAAAATACTTAATAAAAAATATTTTATTACAGTGTTTTAGAAAGCTCTCGTGGTAAACTATAAGAATATGTAATAAAAAATAGTAGGTTCCATTTAAGAAAGTGAAGGAGACCTTTACGTGACCTTAAAATGACTATTCAAGGTCAAACCAATGGTACCATCTTATGGCCCCCTCGAAACCATACAACTTTTGTCTGAAACATTTTTTCGTAAAATGCATAGGAACAGAAATATTTGGGGTGGGACATTAAAATGACTCACCCTGTATACAGCGTGTCCCACCTAGATGTGGCTCATCCCTTTTAACTTTTAAATTAAAAGAAATAAACCATAACAAATATATATGAAATTAAATGGTTTGAACTGAACTCTATTGTGAGCATAGTGGTTGATTTCAAAAATTATTTGTATTGAAGAACGGAGAGGTATGCATAATTTTTGTATAATAATGTAGATATTTTGATATAATAAAAGTTGTAGTACTATTTGAAACGAATGCAACAATGTATGATTGAATATAAATATTTCATATATTATACAAGTTTTATCGATTTGAAATATCGTGAGCGACGTCTACCTTTTCAGTTTCAGCCCTGCAATATGACCAACTTCTGATTCGTGTATTATGATTAAATGACAATGTGACATACGTCAATCTCTAATACGCGTCAGAAGTTGATCATATTGCAGGGCTAAAACTGAAAAGGTAGATGTCGCCCACGATATTTCAAACCAATAAAACTTGTATAATATGTGAAATATTTATATTCAATCATACATCGTTGTATTCGTTTCAAATACTACTACAACTTTTATTATATCAAAATATGTACATTATTATACAAAAATTATAGCAGAGAGGAGGGAAAGGAATATGGCGGAAAGTGAGAGGACGTTGTGCAAGAGTGCTCCGAAAAAGTTAAGATAATGTGAGGTGAAAGAGGAGGAAGGAGGGACAAATGAAAGAAAGTAAGGAAATGAAGGGAAAGGAAACGAGCAAAGGAGAAGTGACGAAAAGTGGAGAATAGGAAGACAAGTAGTGGAATGGTGGACACGTGGAGAAAGCATGCACGGTACGCACGGTGAAAAGGGGACATGCAGGGAAGGATGGAGGAAGGAAGCGAAAGGGAGGAAGGAAAAAGAAGAGCTGGAGAAGAAACAGAGGGTGGAAAATGAAGTGCATGGAAGGAAAGAGGAAAGAGCAGGAGATGGCTGTGGAACAGTCGTACACGTGGCATATGTCATGGGAGGACGCACGGCCAGAGAGGAAGAGAGGAGGAGGATGAGAAAGAAAGGGAAGATGAGTAAGAGAGGAAAAAGGAGGAAAGGAACAGGGATAAGAATATAGGAAGGAAGAAGCAAGAGAGGAGAGAATAAAAGCTTTGTATGGAAAAAAAGAAGAAAGGAAGAAAGAGCAGAGGAGGAGAAAGGAGAGGGTCAATAAGACAGGAAGGAAAGGACGGTAAGGAAGGAAGCGTAGCAGTAGTGGTAGGCGAGAGAGGGAGCTAGAGATGGCACAAGGGAGAGTAGGAAAAACACGTGAAAGGAAGGAATTTGCACGTGCATTGTCACGCATGATACGCAAGTACGCACATGATGAGAATAAATAAAGGCGAAAGTGTAGGAGATAAGGGTTAAACAAAAGGCGGAGGTGAGGAGAGCTGAAGGAAGGAGAAGTCAGAAGTGAAGGGTGAAAGGAGAGAGAGGAGAGGAGAAGAGGAAACGGCAGAAGAGGAAGGAAGAAGACAGGAAAGGACGAAGAGGAGATACAAGGTGGTTAGGTACAAAGAAGAGAGAGGAAGAGACAGGTGGGCTGAAGAGAGGAAGAGAAAAGAGAAAGTGCAATACAGGAAGATGAAGGAGAGAGTGAATGAAAAAGAAGAATGGAGGGGAGCAGGACCTGCGGGTGCAAAGAAGAAATGAAGGAGCTGAAGAGAAAGATGGACAGAGTGGAAATGATGGTGGAGGATATAGCGAGATGGGTAAGGGAGGAGAGAGAGAGTAGGGAGAAAGAAGAGAAAAGAGACAAGGAGGCAGAAAGGGATGAGATAGAAGAGGAGACCCTGGAGGGAACAGAGGAGGAAATGGAAGAGAGGATCAAAGGAGGAGAAGGAAAAGCAAAAGAGGGAAGGAAAAGGGAAAGGAAGAAGATTGAAAGAACAGGAAAATCTAGAAGAAAGAGGAGAAGACTGGTGGAAAATAGTGAAGGAGGAGGAAGAAAGAGAGAGAAAAAGAGAGAGAGAAGGGAGAAAGTGGAAGAAAAGGAAAAGAAGAGGAGAGAGGAAGAGAAAAAAGAAGGAGCTTGTGGAGCTGAAGAAGGAGAGAAACAGAGGAGAAGGAAAGGAGAAGGAAATGAGAGAACGGAGAAGAAAGATG